ACCCCCGTTCTAGGCCTTGTGCCACATTTTCTGTGTTTTTAACAGGAATAAATATCATTTTATTTCTGAGGATGATTTGAATAGTTGAGATTGAGGAACAGAGACAATTGGGGAATTGATTTGCCTATTGAACCCATTGAACTTGTGTGTAGTTTTTTCTTTGTATGTGATTCCAACCAATTTTTACACAGACTTTTATCCACTAGGCCATAGATGCCATAGCTGGAGAGTTTGTGTAGCAGCCATGTATGCCACACCTTGAGAAAGTCCTTTGAAATATTGTAGTGGAGACTTACCTCAATGACCCAAAATGGCCAGAGTCACGTGTATGTTTTGCAATGGAGTGTGGAGACGGTGAATTGGCAAGCTTCAGATTGAAGATGAATCGGGTAGCACTTTATGTGGACGGAAGTGGTGGTGTTTCTTGTAGCCATTTTTATTGACTGGTTCTGGGCACTCATTGGCTGAGCGATGGCTGGGTCAGGTGCATAAAAGCACAGCAGACTCATTCAAAAGGAGTCTCGTTTCTGAGGATGAGTTGCATACTTGAGATTGAAGAATGGAGATAATTGTGGAATTGGACCTGTGTGTAGTTTTTTTTTATATCTGTGTTTGCTTCTGACCAATTCTTACACAGGTTCTGATCTGAAAGTTTTGTTGTAGGGCTACCATATACGTTAAACAAACAGATGTTCATTTTAGCTAATTTGGTAGACACAAAGAATCCAATTTCGTATTATATTTTCATTGTAAATCGAACTTTTCGTTAAAAATATTCTCTGCTGTCTCATTAGTATCCACATGAGAAAATAATTGGCCTCCGCTGTAGGCGTCCTGGCGAAGACTGAAAACCAATCATTTGATAATTGATCTGATTCATTGGTTGATTTTTCACGGCTCATCAACATTTTTCAGGCTACTTAAAACCAGAAAATATTTAAAACATTTTTGGAGATAATAATGATTTATTGATAAAAGGGGAAGGGAGAGGTGCATTCATACATTGTCCAAGAATATTTGCGCGTAAAACGTATGAATTGCTTCAAGTTGAACAGAAAACAGTAAATAAACGAAACCACGGTGTCTGTTTGGATAAAAACTGCAATGTTCAAATTATATTATCCCATGCTATCAAAGTATCATGTTTAGCTCGTTGTGGCATTTCTCATGCCGATGAGGTCATTTGATGCTGTCTGGATTACATGGTACAAGATGCAGGAAATAATACCTGACCTGAAATACTGGGAAATGTAGATACATGCCTTTTTCAAAAGTGACAGGGGAAACTACCGCAACTTGAATTTGAACTTGGTTTGCCGATTTCATTTTACGAATCATTAACGATTAGGACAACTATGCATCTATATATAGTTTCAAAGAATGATCAGAAAAAATATTTTTTTTAGAAAGAACCCCCTTCAGAAAGTGTGTTTTTTTTAATTAGAAACTCTTTTCGTAATTCTAAAACATTACAATTAAAAAAAAATGTAATGTAGATATTTCTCTATTACCGAATTACTAGCAATATAACCCGTCTTTTACCGGTTTTTTTTATTACTTGTAATTTTTGCTGTTAAGTTGGAGCAGTTTAATTTTAAAGTCAGCCCACCCGAAAATCAATATTAGTAAAAACATTTGAGTGCAACTGAGGCACATCCCCAAATGGGTTTTTAAAAATTTGAAGGGGGCCTTGAAGAGGAACTCTATAATAATAAATAATATTATTGTAATAAATTAAACTATTTACTTTTATTAAAGTTTTTTTTAAAGATATATATCCAAGAACAGGTAGTAAATATTAAAACGTTGCTGAGGGTTATAATGGATAGGAAGTAGTGGAGAGCCATTGTCACCAACAATTTGGAGTCAAAATCGGACTGGAGAATTATCTGTCAAACAAAAAATTTCATCAAAATCGAATGAAAACTTTGGAAATGCATAAACAACATCTGATCACACACACACATATACATACATACATACACACATACATACACACATACATACACGCATACATACACATACATAAATACATACACACACATACATACACACATACATAAATACGTACACACACATAGATACCCCCACATACATACACACATATTTTGAGAATTATAGATATAGATATAATTTTTTTTTCGTTCTTAAATTTTAAAGAGGCATCATGGAATTTTCAAGGAAACCCAGAATATTGTTATTAGGTTATTCGTTCGTTTTTTTTTCTGATGTTCTACGAATTATCTCGAAGAATAACTTTTCGAGGCATTTTTTTGGCTTCTTAGTAACTCTGGTCATCCTGTGAAATAACGTTATTGAAATTTTATTTCAGATTAGATACTTCTTTGAGATTGAATGTCAAGTAAACAAGAATGATCATGTTTGACGTTTACTCTTTGCTTTTAATCAATGTCACAAAGTTGCTGGAGCTGCTCGAGTCATTTGTCTGTGTACGGTGATGAAATATTCCAAAGTAACGATGACAATCTGTATGTTAAACAAATGAACAGAGGTTCAAATTCGGCTGAAATGATCAGACCGGTGAATACAGTGTGATTATTCAACATGTCAATGCACGCATCCAATATGGGAAGTTCTGTCCTGTGAGTGTCAGATTTTCCAATTCGTCTTTTCTCACCGTGATCCACAGTCTGATAAGGATATATGAGACATAGACCTCTTATTGAAGGAGGGTGCACCAACTAAGGGCTGATGGGGTACAAATATGCGAAGCCAAATATACGAAGCCAAATATACACATCATGAGAACTGATAGGTATATATCATTCACAAGTATCAAGGCCAAATATGCGTAGATATAGTCACAGGTTTTGATAAAAGCAATACATACATTTTCAGGTGTAATTTAGTTAAAAATGCATCCATGTTCGGTAAGTCGAATTGGCCAAATCATTCTTTAAATTAAAAAAAAATATAATGAAGTCTGGATATTCGGCCATGATTATTATTTAATACACCTTTTCATGTGACTTCGTGCTGGCGCAACCAAGAATTCCGTCTGCCCAATTTCACTTACAAGGCTTGGTTTTATGGGCAGTAAGCGAACGTTTTTAACCACTTGGTTGCCCATCTTTTTTAAGCATTAAATTATTCATTTATCCATAATTACACTCGAAAATTTTTCTCCGGGTTGAATGAACTCGGATGTGTGGGGGACGAGATCTTTTAATCATACATGCAAAAAAACATACCGTATTGAAGTAAATATCGATGCACAATACATCAGCTTCGAACGGACATATCAGACTGACAAAGGTTACGTAACTGGCAAGCAAATATGTGATACTGAAACGATGTATTCACTGTAACCCATTGTAATTCGTCAAAACAAATCATATATTACCACTTTCGATCAAGATCAACGATGAAAGCTATGTTCATATTATTATTAATTTCATTATTCGTTTCGTCGACTTATAAAATAAAGGGCTTTATTATTATTCAAATTCTCTTTCATTATTATTATTATTATTATTAAAACCATTTGCATAAAAAGGAGACTAATATTCTTTCACATCTCATTTCTTTATTATTATTATTATTATTATTATTATTCGTATCGCCTACTTATAAAGGGCTCTAATATACTTTTACATATCTTAAACATTACAATCAGATGAAATGGAACATGCTTAACTGCGCGTGCGCGGATGCATGCGCACAACAGTATATTATAAAACATTAAAGTTTGTTAAGTATCTCTGTGTATGAGTTTACATATGCGAATCCGTGCGTGCCAGGAAGTATTTTTAAGTTGTTCGTTATAATTACATCATAAAATTTACTGATTACGAATGAGACAGTGAATAAAGATATCTCAAGAGATTGATTAACAGACTGTGGGATTAATTTCGTTTTCCTCTTGTTCGCTACAGTTAATGTCAGTATTGGTTTGCTTTTTTTTATGTCTATCAATTCTACAGAATTGATATTTATTTCAATACGGTATGTTTTTTGCATGTATGATTAAAAAATCTCTCCCCCGCACCTCCGCCCGCGTTCATTCAACTCAGAGAAAAAATTTTTCGAGTGTAATTATCGATAAATGCATAATTTAATGCTTAAAAAAGATGGGCATCTGAGTGGTTAAAAACGCCTGCTTTCTGACCATGAGGCTCGTGTTCGAATCTCACCATAGTCGATTTGTCTGGAAGGTGACGTCTTGATGTTATCGCTCTGGAGGAGGCGATCACATCGTGCGGCACCTGTGCCTGAAAACCAAGCACTGTGAGTGAAATTGGGTAGACAGAACCCTTGATTGTGCTAGCACGAAGCCACAAGTCATCGTGACCCAGGGTTCGAGCGTGCAACCCTTTTTCAGACTGCTGACCGCGCTATCTCCCAGAAAACTGTAACTGAGGTCAGCTCAGCATATTTACAGTGTAAATCACGGGTAGGCTTCCTGGGTGTTGAACGGACACAAATGTGTCTGAGAAGACGTCTGCAATGGGAATTAGCCAGCCATCATAAGTATTCATGTAAATGGCTCTTCATTAATGCTTATGACAGAGATTTTTCATTGAACCATAGCAGTAGTTTTGAACAGGAGTAGAGGTTTATCTCTTGTTTCCTGTTTAGGATTGGGTTTCCAATTCCTTCTGAAGTCTACTTCATCGCTATAATTCAAACATCTTCGCCTAAACTCTGAAATTTTATTTACTATCTTTTTCTTCAATAGGAATATATAGGTTCACCTACTGTCCTGTTCATACTCCTCCACGATCTTTTGAACAGGAGTAGAGGTTTGTCCCTTGTTTTCTGTTTAGGATTGGGTTTCCGGTTCCTTCTAAAGTCTTTTTCATTCTCTTTCACTCTCATTAGTGCCTTACACCTTAGGGACATTATCGCCATACCTGGGGTGGATTTATTTAAAAAAAAATGTAATAAGTCCTGTATACTCTCCTGTGAATCATAGTTTTCTTTGTCCTAGACTGGTTACCAAGTCTAGAGAGCGAAGTTTGCTCTGGTAAAAAACATTACTAGTTGCAGAGAGAGAGAGAGAGAGAGAGAGAGAGAGAGAGAGAGAGAGAGAGAGAGAGAGAGAGAAAATGACAGAATTTGAAAGAGAAAAATAATGAATGCAGAGGTTGGCAACCTTTTGCTGATTATGTGCCGACTTAGGGTTTTAAAATCATTCTGTGTGTCAACAGCATACGTATTTTATACAAGTCAATATGCCTGTTCTACAATATATATATATATATATATATATATATATATATATACACTTTAGTATATTCTAAAATTGAAACAGCTAAATATCTTCTTTGCATTGTAGTAGTTATTGGTTCGGACTTCCTAATGTCATTTTCGGCTGCGTGCCATTGAAAATTGCTTGGCGTGGCACGCGTGCCGTAGGTTTCCGATCCCTGTTCTAGATGGGGGAGGGTTCTTTTACAGAAATAAGAACTTCATGGCGTCCAAGAGTTTAACACTGGACGAGGCGATCACAGCGTGCTGCACCTGTGCCTTAAAAATTCCAAACTTTCTCTTGATATACTTCAGTCAATGTTCAACTCATTAACTGAGCCATATTGTTTAATATCGAAAGAAATTTTATTTATGTATTATTAAGTCGAGTGGACAAAAGTGAGTGGGTAAAAGATATGTGACTCCGTCAACATGTTCAAAGGCAGAATAATCAAAATATTGAATTTGAAAAGGGTTTACGACTATAGAAGAGGCACATTGTACACAAATCCAAAATACAGTTATCATCAGTTAATACAAATGTATTTTCATTTTCCTTTTTAAACACGTCTAATGTTTTAGTATTGACTACCGAAAGAGGGAGAGCCTTCTACTCATTCACTTTTTATTCTTTTCCTATGTACCGTGTTACTTCAGGACGCTGGCGAACATGGCTCTCCACAATTTCCTGTCTTTTCTAGTTCTTAATAACTTTTGTCTTTTTGCCATCTCTCCCAAACCCTGCTCTGCCATCCATTCACTCAAGATCGTCAGGTAGGTTGCATTTTGCCTTCCTTTGGTCTTTTAACTTATGAGTATTAAATTTTCCAATACCTCTTTCCTTTTTATATTCCCTGGAAATTTCAATTGTTTCTTCTTGATATTAAGCATAATTGTCCTTTTTGCTGCCATTGTCACTAGGACTTTGTCGTTGCTGACAGCTTCGGTTTATAGTATTCTCAGCATCCTTCTGTAAAACTATGTTTTTGTTGCTTCAAGTCTCTTCTTCATCTGTGAGGAGATTTTCCAACATTCAATGCCATATAGAAGGATTGATATTGCATAACAGTTCACTTCCATTTTCTTTATTTCTGGAGATATTTTTTCTGTTTCTTAAAGCTTTGCTTAGATTTTGGAAGGCATCTTTTACTGTCCCAATGAATCTTCGGATTCCCATGTCACTCTTTCCGTCCTCCGTTATGAAAAAGAATATTTTCGTATATTCAGACGATAAAGCATCTGTTGAATTTTTCATGGCTATCCTCTGTTTGTGAAAATTGAATCTGATTTGAATCTATGGGCAGACATTGGTCGGCTTTATTGTTGAATCTGCAAGTATCCATAGGTAGCCACTCCTGGTAGGATGCCTTAAATCTATGCAGGGGAGACAATCAGCGTATTTTAGGCTCCAATGACAGAACAGTTAACAGGTCGACAAGAGGTTGTCAGCTTCTGATGACCTGATTTTGAACGATCTTCAGGAATTTCGGGATAATCATTTGGGACGACTTGTCACTGTTGATGAAGCAGATACACCACGATGACCTGGAGGTCAAACAACAATCCATGTAAAAGACACAAAGAAAAGGCTTTGAATAAAAAAAAAGCATTGCGATGATTGCTTATCTTTAGTATGGACAAACAGTTAATACAATATACAACACTAAATTTTTGTACCGATTAAACGTTAAATACGTTAGTTAATTTAACGATATTTCAACCCTTGTTGGGTTATTTAATGTCGACGATATGTCTTATAGGGAAATGAATTGATAGGTAGACAGGGGTCTGGTTTAGACTTCAATCAAAACGAATAGATATGAGCTCGATTTAGACGAGAGTAAAAGAGATTATCATTGGTCCGGTTTAGATTAGAGTAAAAAAAAGATTATCATACACCCTTGTGCAAATTGAAACAAAACGAATAATTCCGTTATTATTTAATTTTTTTTCATATTTTCCCAATGAAACATGACCCAATGCTCATGTTAGTACTTTGTATGTCCATTCCACGAAGTCGTTTCTTGCAGATTGACCACAGATTCTCGATTGGATTTAAATCAGGAGGATTTCCGAGCCAGTCTATAGTACTTTGATTTTCTCATTGTCAAGGCTTGTTTGTGTGATGGTGCTGCGTTACAATTTTCGGACGCTTCCTTGGAGTAATGTCTATCGCAGACAATTTGATGCAGCCACGTGAATTGATTGATTGATTTGTTTTTTATGGCTTATCAACCCTTTGCAGGTTATTTAAAGCCAGAAAATATTTTTAAATTCTAAGATTATTCTTTGAGATAATAATGGTTTAGTAATACAAGTCTTACTAATTAACCCATAGGCGGGGGAGAAAGGGTGGAGTCATACCTAATCAGAATTTGATAAATAAACAAGAAATTATAACGTGAATATAAAGTGAGGGATCAATTGTATATTACAATCAATATATAAACTGATCCCTCACTTTATCCCCACTGTAGTTTCTATACATTTATATTCCAGAGAATGTAAATAAATCAAAAAGAGATGTCTGTGTAGCTAATTAATATTTCAGTGGTTGATTGATTGTTCCGTTTTCTACGGCTTATCAAACCCTTTGCAGGTTATTTAAAGCCAGAAAATATTTTTAGATTCTAAGATTTTTTTTTTTTAGATAATAATGGTTTACTGATAAAAAAAAATTCCTACTAATTAACCCATAGCTGGCGGGAGAAGAGGTGTATTCATACCTTTCCCAAGGGTATTTGAGCGTAATTGACTCTAACGAACCCGACTGGAATTGGAACTTGGGTCTCTCAGTTCCAGTTTCAAGCCGTTATCCATTACACCGTTGGCACATCCAAAGTTACAGCGCCTGATATTCTCAAGTAGTCACCCATCTAGGTACTAACCAGGCTCGATATTGCTTAACTTCGGTGATCGTACGAGAACAGCTCTTTCAACATGGCCATAAGCGGCCAATGTGAAGATTGCAGAGCCGTTTCAATAGAATGTTACACAACCTGACATAATAATTGAACCCGAGTAGATACAAGAAACCTATTAGCAGACTGACACAGTTGGCTGGGCACAAATGATTGTCAGCTGGTCCTATCACAGAACGAATCGTGCAGGAACTTGCCGATATCACCACGTATGCCCACGTACACATGTGCGCGCACATGCACCTCCACACACACACACACACACACACATATATATATATATATATATATATATATATATATATATATATATATATACGGGCACGTAGCAGCATTTTAATGGATATAGGCATTAAAAACCTGGTCATGGCGACCTGTTGAATTTCATTTCATGCATTAATATAGGAAAAGAAAGGTATTTTAAGTGACTTTGAAGGCGTCTGAGTATTTCCAAATCTGATGATTTACTAGAATCTTGATGCAAAACTGTCTCTAAGTTTTACAGTGAATGGTCAGAAAAAGAAAAAAAACCAGTGAACAGCAGTTCTGTGGCAGGAAATTCTCGTTGTTGGAACATTTTCATAGGAGAATAATCAGATTATTTCAATTTGACAAAATGGCAACAGTGGTTCAAATCTGAATTCTTTATGACGTAAGTATAAAGAAAAGTGTCTCCGAATGCACAGCATGTCGAGCCTTGAAGCAGATAGGCTACAGCAGTAGAAAACCATAACTGTGTCAGATAATAACAGAGGATACAATGAGTTAAAAATTGGACAATAGAAGACCGGAAAAACGTTGCCTGGTCTGATGAATCCCGTGTTCTGCTGTGACATTTTTCTTAGTAGGGTGTGCAGGTTGTTGGTTGATTTTGTTTAGCGACATATCAACCTGTATGGCAGTAGTTCCCAACCAATTTTGGGCCATGACCCATTTTGGTATATCTAAAATTCTGGTGCCCACTCCCCCTGTAATATTTAATTCTTACATATTCAAAATGCAATTCACATGACGGAAGCTTAAAAGGCCATTAACTTGGTCTCTAAACAAGCCTCCAAAGACCATGGCATCCATGAACGAGAAAATTAAAAAAAAAACAAAACAAAAAGACAGTTAAATATATATAGTTACAAAACATATAATAGAGAATTGAAAGGTAGAAATATAAAATATTTGAATGAAGACTTATTCTGTATTATACTTTGGTCATTTTATTCATGAAATAATAATACAAATTGAAATTTGAGTTCACGTTAGTATAGTAAACCGAAAGGTGCACATCCTACGCATGGTGCACCAAAATATTACAATGCCCCACCAGTAGGGCATGCGCCCCACGTTCGAAATCATTGCTCTATGGGCTATTTAATGCCAAAATCTAACTATTTTGAATACAATTTTATGTCTTCAATTACAGATAAAATGATTGTTGGTAAATGTACTATAAAATGAATTGTTGGTCATTTTGCTTTCAAATTGTATTGTTGGTAATTTTACGATAGGTTCTTGGTAAATTCAATATAAGTATGTATTGTTGGTAATTTTTTTATATATAAAAATGTATTACTGGTATTTTTCCTATAAAATGTATTTTTAGACTTTCATTGTGTTTTTTTTGCGGGGGAGTGGGGAGTTAACTATTTACCCATAGTTGGGATTCTAAGAGGCGCTTCCACCCTAGGTCATGGTGGATCTGGGAACAGCAGTAATTAAGAGATGGTTCCCCATTCCTCAAAACCTCCAATCTTCCAATCAGAAGCCTGATGTACTTTATCGTCCTTTTCAGGACTAAGGGGCGGTCCGGTTAGTGTAATAGCTCGCGGCCAGGAATGAGAAATTGTCAAGCCTAGTTTGATTTTTAATTAAATTCGTTGCATTCACCACATTACCCTCGGGAAAGGTATATATCCATTTATTGTCCCCCAAGCTCTAGGTTAAATAACAAGGCAGACTGATCTCTCTAGCCGTAGTTGGCAAACAGCCTAAGAGAAAGAAAGTCTGAATTCAAAATCGAATGTGACCCTGGTGAAACATGCACTGTGCAACCATGGGAAATATAAAGAGAGATTGTGGGCTTTCTGATATCGATAGAGTTCGATGAAGCAGGGAGTCTTTGGTTTGGTTTGGTTTGTTTTATGGCATATCAACCTCAATGGGTTATTTAATGCCGACAAGATTCTTATTGCTAGTAATATCTATCTATCTATTTCAGTATATATTGATTTGGTTTGGTTTGTTTTACGGCATATCAACCTCAATGGGTTATTTAATGCCGACAAAATTTCCTTTTTTTCTTTAAAAAATGTATAGCTGGTAATTTTTTCAGAAATGTATAGCTGGTAATATCTTTTTTTTCAAAAATGTATATTTTGGTTTGTTTTGTGGCATATTAACCTCAATGGGTTATTTAATGCTGACAAGATTTTTATTGCTGGTAAAATTTTCTTTTTTCAAATATTTATTGCTGATACTAATTTTTTTACAAAGTATTTCTGGCATTAAAATCTATTTTTACACTTTCATAGTGTTTTGCGGGGTCAACTATTTGCCCATAGCTTGGACCCTAACAGGTGCTACCACCCCGGGTCAGGGTGGACCTGGGAACACCAGCAATTAAGAGGTGGTTCAACGCTTCTCAAAACCTCCTGATCAGAGGCCTTGCTGCTGGATGTAGTTTATCGTCTTAGCTAGGACGCGGATGCAGTTTATCGTCTTACCCAGGACGCGGATGCAGTTTATCGTCATACCCAGGACGGAAGCAGGGAGTCGTCTGAATAAATAATATTTACTTTTCAACGATATTTTCTAGTCCAAAATTGTGATCACGAAGTTTTCTGCATTGAGTGTATTGTTTAATTTTAAGCCTTTTTTATGTTCATATATTCTTTTCAATACAATTCTTAGCAGCTACAAATTCAATAAATAATGAATTTGAAAGTCTTTATAAAAATGATCATAGGAAGATGGGTAGGTAGCCACGCGAATCATCCCAACGAGATCAGACGTATGAACATTGCACTCAGCGATTGAACCATCGATGAACAACGCTCTGTAATGAGTTTTCTCTGGGAAAAGGGAGTAAAACATGTAGAAATCCATCGCTGGGTGTTGGACCCGTATCAAGAATAAAACAAAAGATGTATGCGTGGGTAGATGGCTTTGATTACTGTAAACAATTTTAGTTGCCAGGAAAGTATCCACGCTGGAATTTTCTCTTACGTAATTTCTTTTTGAGATAAACTTTTTACTTACAACTAGAATATGGAGGAGATGAGAATGATTCAACTTCGTGGACATGTCATGGCGAGTCCTAGCTGTAGACATCTGAACTGGTGTATACTTTGTTTTTACCATGTGAGCAGCCTCACGTATATATTGTGTTGGCGTCACTATCATTATGATAAAATTCATCAAAAACGCTTCCATTTTATTTTTCATTGTTCTTCAGCAGTCGTCGTGGTAGCATTAGTTATAGTATGCGAGAAAGATTTAATAAAGGCTTTGAGCTATTGCCAGGGAATATTTATTGAAATCGCGATCGACAGAATGAAAGTACGTTAATCAGGATGTATGATTGTTGGAGCGTTTTTAAGTAAAGTGACACGCACGCATGCGCCGAGACGGGCAAACGAAAAGGACAAAAGATAAGAATAACAAAAGGCGCGAGAAAGAAAGAGAAGCAAGCAGTGAAGCAATTAAAATCCATATATATATATATATATATATATATATATATATATATATATATATATATATATGAAAGATAGTGTTGGGCGTATTGGGATATATACATGTGCATATGCTGATGTGCATATACGAGCGTATTTTTATATCTATATATATGTGTGTGTAAGAGAGCATTTATAAATATAGATGCATATGTATGCGGATGTATATAGGTGTAAATATGTATTTTCTATGCCTGTAATACATATGTGAGTACGAATATATATCTGTATGTCTATTTTTAAAAAAATAATATATATATGTATGTGTGTTTGTTTTTATATATATATATACATTTATATAAATATATATATATATAAATTTATATAAATATATATATATACATTTATATAAAATATATATATATATATTTATATATATATATAATTTATATAAAATATATATATATATAAATTTTATATATATATATATATATATATATATATATATATATATATATATATATATATATATATATATATATATATATATACATTTATTTAATGTATATGAGAGTTAACTTACCTTTAACATACTTAAACTAATAAATACCGCTATGTGTCTGTGTGTTTCACGTCTAAACTGATCATCAAACTACCAGCAACTTAATTTAAGCTCTGATGTATTATTAATCTGACTATTCCAATTAATTTCAGGTACTACCCAACATTTTCCCACATTGGAGATGTCTCCCCAGATCAATATTATCAAGATGTCACTTGCCTGACAAATTGATCATGGTGAGATTCGAACGCTGTCTCTGTCAGAACGCTGACCTTCGAAACACTTCACCATTAATTCGAATTTTGCGACATGAATTACCATTATCCCAGAAAATATGTCACTAACACCCGAGATAGAATAAAATTAAATAAGGAATCATAAATTAATAATATCTTTAACTCGTTGATAAAATCTGCAATATTATTCGTCCTGATCTGGCGACTCGGCTTCAGTCACTTTCTCACCGTCTTAAGGTTGTCTCCCTTTGACCTTTCTATAAATAAAGGGGGTCCCAAAAAATTTGACATCATTTCGCAGGCCAATAATTTTGGCAACTCTTGTTGAAATAACCTAAAATTTTCACAGAATGTGTAGAGACAGATCAAGATTTTATATTTAAATGAAGAGGACAGTAGGTGTTTAATTTAATGAGAATCTGCCAGAGAGATGCATCGGGCCTGGTGGTGATGAAGACTGTTTTCTGATGAAATGGCCGCCGCGGTCACCGGACCTGTCCCCTTGTGATTTTTTATGGGGACATGTGAAGGGACTGTCCCCCTCTCTTCCTGCTAGCATTGATGA